TTTTAGTCTAATTAGATTATTAAATAGCTTAGTTTTGTATTAAGTAGTAAATATTTAATAAAATTTTAGTACACGATCATCAAAGGAAAAAAAATATATATATATATACTATGCAATATATTGCACTAGTTACACAATATAGTTTATATCTATTGCTATAATGTAAACAAATTGCTAGATTTGAATTTTAGGCCAGAATACAATGCATTTATTCTTTTATGATTACATATTTAATTTAAATCCAGATATTTGTTTACATCATCTTTATATAAATAGTATAAGCCATCTATTTTTTTCTCTTTTTGCTATTTATATACTTTATCTTTCGCTATTTATATACTTTTATCTTTTCATTGTTTACCAATTTACTACCAAATAGATCTATAAATTTTTTTTTTCATTGTTAATAACATACTAACATACACACTTATATACTCTTTTCTTTTTGTTGTTTACTACCTATAAATTTTCTCTTCATTGTTAATAACATACTATTATACACACTTACGTACTCTTTTCTTTTAATTGTTTACCAACTTACTAACACATACATTTATATATTCCTTTCTCTTCATCATACCCTTTTTGTTGTTTACCAACTTACTAATATATATATCTATATATCTCTTTCTCTTCATCATTAATAACATACTAACATATATACTTATATTTCCTTTTCTTTGTTGCTTACTAAAATACTACTATATTTATATATCTCTTCTTTTGATAATTTACTAAAATATGTACTTATATCTATGAAAGACAAAAATAATGAAAGAATTTCAATAAACCTACCTGATGAGATCACAAATAATGATAGTGATATAAATCTGTACTATGACAATGTAAATATCAAGAACTTGCTTAAAAACAGTAAAATGTCAATTAAAAATACTAAAGCTATCACACTAGAAAAAGACCAGTTATTTGATGATTTTGATCATGCCAAGAAATATATATAAAATTATGTAGAATATATGGGTTTCAAGGTAGTAATAGAAAGAAGTACAGCAATTCAAACTACTGAAAATAAGAAAGTAATACAAAAAAAGACAATTTATTGTCATTATTTTGGTAGTTATCAACAAGCGAATCCTGAAAAGTTTAGAAAATCAATAAGAAATAGTTGTTAATGATATATAAACCTCTCAAGACCTATGAAAAATAATCTGACTTCATATATTTTTGTTACAATATACATAAATAAGCATAACTATAAAATGTGTCCTGAGGCACTATAGTTTGAAAGACTGAAAATCTTTACAAATGAGATGAAGAAAGATAAAGAGTTTTATATAACCGAATGTTATTTTGATGCAACAATTATTAGACAGATTCTAAAAAAAAAATACTCTCTTTAGCTGGTTTATATAAAGAACCTTTATATAGAAATTTAGTAGCATAAATCATCAGCAAATCATAATAAAGCTGATGCAGCACGATTGTACAAAGAGTTGCAATCTAAAAAAAGTAAAAATCCAAAATGGTTTGTTAAAGTAATATAGAAACTAGAAACAAATACTCTTACCGGAATTTTTTGGATAAGTCTAGAGCAAATTATTATATAGTATGAGTTTGGTGATGCAATTGGTCATGATAATATTGCTGAAACAAATTGATACTATATGCCACTATCACTCTTTGTAATTATTGATGATAATATAAAATTAAGAGTAGTGGCTCAGGCTTTACTTAGTGATGAAACAACAGAGTTATATTAATGGGTCTTACATATAACAAAAAAAACAACACAAGGACAGATGTTCAATGTATTTGTTACTGATAGAGACCTTGCTATGGAGAGTGTAATAGTGACTGAATATCCTATAACCTATTATATTCTTTGTATTTGGCACCTTAAAGAAAATATTAAAAAATGCTTCATAGAAAACTTAGTAGATCATTTAATAATTTTTATTCCACTTTTTAAAAATATTGTAATGCTGATATATCTGATGTTTTTTACTACAGTATTATTGAGAAGAAATAACAACCAATTACCTAACTGTATGCACATACCTTCAAATCATTTGTATAATAGGTGCAAATCATAGGCTCATGAATTTACAACTATATTATTTATACTTGGTATTGAATCTATATTATTTGTAAAAAGTCAAAATGTCTGTCTGAAATGCATAATTGAAAATAGCAACACATCTTTTTATAAACTTGAAAAAGTTCTAATAGACAGTGCTAAAAATACTATAAAACAGAAGCAATATGAAGATTTAACTAGAGGTGTTAATTTAATAGTTAATACTATAACAATTTTTCTAAAAATTAAATTACTTATTAGTCATTACTTGCATCCAAATGTTATAAAATTTTTGATTAGTCAAATAAAGAAGAGCATATTCTATATTTCATTCTGTTTTAATATTAAAAAAATTTAAAACATGCTATAAATAAGCTATCCATTAGTGATAATTTTGAAGATGAACCAGATAGTGTATTTTTATATGCTCAATTTCTTTTTTAGCAATTGGATTGTACTAAAATTAAAGAGGTGTAGAAAGTTTCTAAAGTTACAAGGCAAAATGTAAATCATGTAGTCTTTTGTCTTATAGACAGATCATATATTCATTACAACAAAAGTAAAAACTAGTTTGTAGACATTACTTTCATCTTCTAAATAGCACTAAGGCAGCATGATTCAACATGAAGCTTATTAATATGAGATGGATTTCTAAAATATATCAAAATAATATAATAACAGAATCTGATTATTACAGACAACATTTCTTGGATAATAGTATAGTTTCTAGTATAGACCAGAAAATAAATCATAATCAGAATTTTGAATATAGTGTAGACCAGGAGATAAAATATAATTAGAATTTTGAATGGCTCTAGCCGCTTAATAATGATAATGAGCAACTTATCTAGAATGCAAGCTTTATAAATAAATAGTTGTTTTATGGTAAAATATAGGGCTTAGTTTGTATTGCAATAAATAAATGCCTTTTATACCAGAATCATGAGTTTGTTAAGATAGTTAAAACATATTTGGCTAGTGTATGTGAAAAAGAAATTATAAGTCAACAAGTAGAAAATTCAGAAGATAAAGATTTAGATAAAGAGAATACTCTTCCAAACGTCATTTTTAGAAATCCAAGGAAAGTCATTAATAAAGTACAATCGAAACTATCTAGCCATTATAATAATCAACAAAGTCAACATTCAACAAATGAATTATTACTTGATAGTAAGAAAAAGCGTGCACAGAATCATTGTAGTTACTGCAAGGAGGTAGATCACAATATTGCAATATGCTTTAAAAAAGCTAAGAATTAGCAGCTTTGAATACTGTAGTTTTATATAGCTAGTATTAGTATGTATATATGTATTTAGCATAATTCAAATTTATTGCATAATGATGTTGATTTAGAGTTTACTACTATGTAGTACATAATATTCAATTTATTTCAAATTAGCAATATTATCTAAAATATCTTTGTATATATATATATATGTATGATAAATAAACTGTATATATTTGAGATATTCTAAATAACATCATTACTTCAAATGTGCCTATTAAATATTCCTTGTGCAAGTAATACTAACCAAGTAAAGAAAGATCACTAAAGCTAGTAGGTAGCAATGTTATCCAGAATATCTTGCATGTATATATATATATATAATAAATAAACTGTACATTCTAGGTAATATTGTTACTTCAAATATGCTTATTAAATATTTCTTGTGCGAGTGATACTAACCAAGTAAAGAAAAATTGCTAAAGCTAGTAGGTTATTATACTGTATACAAAATTGTCTTTTTAGCACTCTTTACACATTTTAGTGAATCCTTTTTATTACCTTTTAAGCATAGCATTTTAGTTAGAATAGTTAGCAAGCTAGCAAAATAAGCTTTTTTTATTTTACCAAATAGTGGCAAGACTCTTGTCACTATTTGGTGAGCTAAAAAAAAGCTCACCTTGCTAGCTTGCCAACCACCCTAATTTTAGCACTTTATATTATTATTCGATTGTTATTTAATATACAGTATATGCATATAAAGTAATTTCTAAATATAGTATATTTTATACTACAAATATAAAAAGATAAATTATCACATGATTTAGAGGTGCTATATATTGCAGGTGCAATAAATTTTAAAACCTATAAAATTATTAATAAAATATATTTTAAATTATAAAATTTATATTTTGTTTATTTAAATAAAGATTATAAATTTAGCTTTTTTTTCAAAATAATTCAAAAATATCTAATAAATCATATAATTATTGCATTTAAATATATTTCCAATTATTCAAACTTAATACCAAAACCATTTTTTGGACTATATTTTTCCAAAAACTAAAAAACAGTAATGTACTGCAAGAAAAACATAAAACATAGAAAAAGAGTATAAGAAGAACCGCACTTGTTGTTTAGAGGTAGTTCTTATATATTATCTGCTAACAAGCTCAGAGTTTATCACTTATAGCAGCACAACACTTGTCGTTTAGAGATAGTTCTTATACACTATTTGCCAACAAGCTGCATGTATAAAAATCCATTGATTGGTCGATCCAAACATTGTATCCTATGTGATATATTTGTATGACAAGTAATACAGATCAATTTTTAAATACTATTTATATATATATGTGATACGTAATCTATATGATGTTTAATTTTTTATTAAAAATTTAAAACGCTTAAAATACATTAGTAATATCTGCAAGTGGCAAATTTTTTTCTAAATCGTAGTTAATAAATTCTATACATATGTATTAAAAAAATTAGATTTATCTTAATTACAGTATAATGATAATTTTTTTTTATTGTTATATACTGTAAATTATATATTTACCTGCAATTTTTCTTTGTAATTTTTTATTAATCTCAACGTATTCTTTTGTAGATTCAATTTTTTCTAATATATCAGATTCATTTTCAGATTGAGTACTAGAATCTATCCAATCATCGATATCTTTTTTCATTTGTAATCTTGCATTATATGATTGTGATAATTCTTCAATTGAATTTGAAAGATATTCAAAACAATAGTGACAATAATACCCTAAAATTTGAAAGCAACGATCATGTTAGCCATGATCACAAATTAGTACCTGACTATTATTCCATAATAAATTATCACATTCTAGATAATCACATAATTTAGAAATTATAGGATGATAATTTGAATGATATTCAAGGAGCAAGCTTTGGAAGAAAATTGTGACTGAATACCAGGAAATAATAATAATCTTTCTTAAATCTTCCTTCTTGCTTCATTATTGTTTTGTCTAAATTTTGCCATAAATTATTAAAAAAATCTAGTAAAAAAATTGCAAAACGTTTTACCAAAATATCTAAATCTTTTTTAGTATAAGGATAATCATGCTGTGATTCAAATAAATTAATAAAGGTAGTTTCATGTCGATAATAATCAAAAAATAAAGCATCACGTCTTAAAGATTTTCTAGTTATTACTTTTGCATTTGTGTGACATCATAACAAGCTATGAAAGTTTTCAACCGGGTATTTGTCAAAAGCATTTAAATGTATTTTTAAAAAATTAATTATTGGATATTCAATTGTTTTCCAATATTGGATATCTGATAAAAAGGCTAATATAATTTTATCATAATTGTGTTTTTTAAATCTTCATATTATGGTTCATAACCAAAATATTGTACTAACATATTTTTCAAAATGATTTTCTCAAAATAAGCATATATATACATCCAAAATGGCAGGAACTAAATTATCTAACAAATCAAAAAATGTAATATATACAATATCTTTAGAAATTTTAAACTTTTAAACAATATATGTTTTAATTAAAAGCCAGCCTTCATGCGTCAAATATAATAACAGATTAATGTGCCAAGGTCTAGGTTTCATAGCAAGCTTCTGTTTTCTTTCAAAAACTGTTCTATATAAATAATCAAAAAAAGGATAAAAAGTAATCATAATTGATTCTCGCGTATTAAGAGAAACATGGAGTGGACCCAAAAATAGAATTAGATATGTAGTTTTTTCTGGAATTGATAATTCTTCAAATGTCAATTTCATAGTAATTGCCTTTCTTATAAATAGCTGTCCCAGGAAATCCACAGGAAGAGGAATCACATAATTCGTTAAATATTTTTTTATCTCTAGTAAACTTTTAAATTAAATAAATTAAAATAAAATTAATTTAAATATTATACAATTTAGTAAAATTTTTTCGCATTAATATTTTAAAAATGTTTTTATAGCATCAATATAATTTTTTGTATTTTTCAATTCTGACTCAACACAATCTATTAATTTTGTTTTATTAAATTTTCAATGATATCTTTTAGCAATATCAATATCATGAGAATGAATCGTTAAAAATTCAATTAAATCTATCTTGTTAGATGTACAAGACGTCCAACTCCAACATGATTTCTCTAAATTGTAACTACTAGAAATAGTAAAAATATATTGTTTTTTAAAAATATCCTTCAAAAGAAACACATCAATACCACGGAGTTATAAATAGATAAATTGTATAATGAATTATAAGGAATAGGTAAGGTTTCAATTGTATTAAATAATATAGTAGCCATGTGAATGATTTGTTTAATAGAAGTTGTTGATAGAATGTGAGTACCATGAAGATTATGATAATCATCTATGCATGCTATTAAAAGATTATTAGACTAAAATTATATTAGTATATTAACATTATAGTATATATTATTTTAAATTATTAAAAAGTATTTAACTTATATGAGATTAGATATACCTCTGCATGCTAAAATAATGCTTATTACTTATTTTATAAGAGCCGTTTGATACATTATACATAGTCTCATACTAGCTGCCATATTGATACATTGTTCTGATACTTTAGGTTTTGCAAAAAATAGCCCCATTGTGGATTTAGAACTACTCACTTGCTTGTTTCATAATCTGGCCATTTGGTAACAAAATATCATAATTTTTTGCTTCAAGATTTTTTGCACTTTTGGACTTTTTTTCTTTGGATTCATTGCATTGTATAAAACTTTAAAAAAACCTTGAAGTTTTGGATCTTTACACTAACAAAGTTTTTAGCATTTAATTGTAGTTGATTTCCTTGCCGTTGTTCTTAATAAAGAACTTTCGTCATTCATGCTACTTAATCATTAAAATAATTTGAAAACCGTTCAATTTCTATAATAATAAATATGATTAATAAGTATAAGTATTTTTAAAAAAAGACAGTATTTAATAAAATTATACAATACTATTTTTATCTTGCTATAAGCTTTGAATTGTTGAAATCTTTTCTAATAAATATTTATAAATTTTATAAGATAAATAAATCTTATCATTAGAAATATTTATACTATCACTATAACAAACTTCAACATTCGATTGTTCACTTGAATCGCCACTATTGGCAGATTTTAAATACCACTCAATTGCCTTTTTTTTGTTTTTTAAAATACCTATTCCCTCATTATAGCAAAATCCAACATTTAATTGTCCATTAGGATTTCCACTTTCTGCAGATCTTAGATACTATCCAAATACTTTCTTTTCATCTTTAGGAACACCAATACTATTTTGATAACAATTTCCAACAATAAATTGTTCTCTTGAATTCCTATTATTAGCAGATTTCAAATACTATTTAAAAGCTTTCTTTTCATCTTTAGTTATGCCTATACCATTTTAGTAACAATTTCTGATCTTTAATTGCCCATTAGAGTTTCCGCCTTCAGCAGATTTTAAATACTATTCGAATGCTTTTTTTTCATCTTTATGTATACCTATATCATTTTGATAAAAATTTCTGACCTTTAATTGCCCCTTAGAGTTTCCACTTCTAGCAAATTTCAAATACCATTCGAGTACTTTCTTATCATCTTTAGTTATGCCTACACTGTTTAGATAGCAATTTCTAACCTTTAATTGCCCATCAGAGTTTTCACTTTTAGCAGACTTTAAATACCATTTAAATGCTTTCTTTTTATCTTTAGATATATTTGTACCATTTTAGTAGCAATCTCCAACACTCAATTGTCTTTTAGAGTTTCCATTTTCAGCTAATTTCAAACACCATTCGAACTCTTTTTTTCACCTTTAAAAATGCCTATACTATTATTATAACAATTTTCATTACACTGTCCACTAGAATTTTCATCTTCTGCATGTCTTTTGTCTTCATAAATTGAACCATATTTTTGTCTTTTATTTGTGTTTGAATAACAAAACTTTCATTTTTTATTTTGGTTTGAATTTCTATCAAATGCAATCAACTCAACATAATGCATATGACACAATTGGTCATATAAGTTAAGTTCTACCTTTAAATTCGAAAATGCAGAACTTTGCATAGCTTTGGGCAAGAGATCTGGTATCAATATATGAAACTTTTCTTTAGTGTCATTCTTGCCGCATACTGCACATGGTCCTTTATTTTTACATAGCCTACCTCTCGGAATTGTCACTAGTAAAAGTCTCTTCTAATTTGGGATCTTGAAATGTAATTTTCGGATCTTGAAAGCTAAAACTCTGTTAAACACAAACACAAAATTTCAAGTTGTAATACCTTTGAAAAGAAAAGTCTGAAAAGGTTTGGAAGCTTCGTGGCTTTTAGATAAATCAACCAATCAACATGAATTTTTAGCAGCCAATTATTGTGATCTATGTATAAATAATATTTTAAAAAATTGACCAATCAATGAATTTTTATATATGCTCCAACAAGCCCAGAGTTTATCACTCACTGAAAAAACTTAGTACTGTGCAAACTTGTAGAACACCTGTTGATGTTTTTAGAACTCACACTCTTTTGAATATATACTAGTGGTCTTCTCTGTGTTTTTCACTTTTTGCTATTCTCACCAAAAATTTTGACAAAAAAGTGGGCATTTTAGCTTACCCCCTCCAAAAGATTGGCATTGTTTACACCTACCTAATTCAGACAACTCAGTAGAATGCAACTACATGTTTGTTTTGTTTATCGATATGGTGCTACAGTACGAGGAAGAGATCGCTACTCCCATTTAAGAGATACCCAAGTCAAGTTGGTGTCCAGAGCTAAACCAAAGGTTTACAATCGAGATATAGTAATTAGTTGCAATTATTATATAATTTTTATCTTTATGCCTGACACAGGCTATAATAGTGTGTCATGGCTATTTTCTTTTTTTATCTTTGTTTATTTATGTTAGACTATTTTAGAAATTTTAATCTGGTTTTGTTTTTTTTTATCACTGTGAGGCGTTTTTTTTCTAAAATGTTTATATCTTTTGTAAACATGGCTTTATATTTTTACTTTTATATACGAATAAGGGTTTTATTTGTGTTGTTGGGCTTAGGTGAAAGAAGTCTAAAAGAAGAGAAGGTAGTCATGATGGGTAGCAAGGTTCACTGTTAAAAGCCAGATCATATCCAATTGCAGGAGGGGTCTGAAAGGAGGGAAATATTGCTATAGCAGATTGAATATAGGTACCAATTAGGGTAACTGGGTTAGTTTTAACTTGTAATTTAGGTAATATTAGGTTTAATACTACGGCACTTGTCATTTAGAGATAGTTCTCATACACTATCTGCCAACAAGTTAAGAGTTTATCGCTTACCTTCTGAAATGCAACCTAGTGTAAAATTTTACCAGTCTAGAAGATTCATACAAAGCCTAATAAAGTTAAAGCATAACTGCCGAATTTATAAAAAAAAAAAAAATATATATATATATATATATATATATTTCTTATTATTTATATTTTTATTTAATTTATTTCGAATTAATTCAAAATATCTTGAAATATTTCAAATATTATTTGATAAATTTAAATTAATTAGCTTTTCTTACTCATTAGTAGCTATCTTTTAGTTTATAAATATTTTGCTGTTTTGATACATTTACATCTATTTGAATTGTTTTAAATTAATTTGAAATATTGCGCTATAAGTTTTGTAATTTTGCATAATATATTTCGTAATATTATGTTATATATTATGCAATATTTTGCAATTTATTGCACAATATTATGCCTAGACTGTAATTATTGTGCAATATTTTGGGGTGTAATAACTTACATAAGATTAGATTAATATATTTTGCTGATGTAGTTAGTTTGAATTCTTATTCTTAGCACTAGGCTTAAAATATAAAACCTTTTCCAATTATGTAAAAAGTTTTCATAAAGATAAGAGCATGGTTTTACTTTTAATATTAAAAAAAAAAAAAAGAAAAATGATCCTTTCACGATTTTGTATTAATCTTGATACTAACTCTAAACCTAACAACATTAACTCTAACACTAATACTATCCTTAACACTAATCCTCAACATTAATAAACTGATACAAATAAATGTGTAACAAGCTGTTACAAATAGATATTTCCTTATAACTTTACTTGTTTACATAAATAAAGGCAAAACCGTTAAAAAAATAAAAAATAAAAAAAGCTTATTAAAATTACAAAAAAAATACTAAATTAAATAAAAATATCAAAAAAGCAAATTTGTATATAACTATCTAAAATCTGCTTTAACTTTATAGTTAATTTAATAATATATACAGTATACTATAAGAATCTATTTCGCTTTAGATGTTCCCCATGTTTGGAAAGCACCCAAGAACGGAATTAATAAAAAAAATAAATACACGAAATCGATTTTGATTGGTTGATCACGGGATTTAACGCTCTAAATTCTGAAATTAAAAAAATAGATTTGATTGGTTTTTTGATCTACATAAATTAACCAAATGTTGGGCTGCATGGTTCTTTTGAATTCTAATAATTTATCACTTTCAAATCGGTCAAATCTTTATAATTCGTAGCAGACCAGAGTATGAACATGTTAAGATCAAACTCAAACAACTCCAAATCGTCAGACAGAGTAGCTTTATTTTCAGATAGTAATAATGATACCACTTCGTCTTCTATAGGAAGAAAAGTAAAACATGACACTGATACGTCAAGTCATTTTGAACAACAAAATGAATATCGATTAGAAGAATTGAATTCAAAACTTTCGGCTTTGCATAAAGTGATTGCCTTTAAACTTGCTTGTCTATGTTTTATTTTTTAATAGTGTTAAGTATTAATATATATATATTGAGTAGATCACAGTTGACATTCACAACGAAGTTAGTGACCAAGTAAATTTACTTGACGATACGGTTGTATTATATTCATTTTTCTCGGTTGTATATGGGTGTTACCAAGGGAAAACTTGAGAGCAAATTTAAATTTTCCCACTGCGGACTTCTGAAAAATTTGAATATTACGTAATTTAATCACTGTACGATCAGCATTCTGGTCATCTTGATACACAAATACAGCGCAAGTACGTACGTATGTTCAAATTATCGAAAAGGTTCAATTACGTACGTACGTACTTTATATCTGAGTTTAAGTCCGGTACAGTGAATTTTTAATTTTAAATTTGTAACTACAAGTCTTCCCTTGGCAGCATTCATGTTATAGTTTTATTATCATCACAGAAAACTAATATTTAATTATTATTTTTTTTCAAAAATAGGGTAATGCATTTACGTCGTTTGGGGGGTCTTTTAAAAATACATTTACTCGGCTGAGACATATGACATCTATAAGGCATAGACAGCACATGTGTTATTTGGTTGCGTGCATGGTTGGAATATTTTTCTTATTTTATTTTGCACGGGGATATTTGTGGGATTAAGATCTCAAAATAAGCTGGATCTTAAAAATCAAAGAAATCTAACTACATTGATAGAATACATATACTTACTGATAAATAATGTAAAAAATTAATCTTATAATTGAATACCCATCATTATAGAATTGTCTTAGATATATTTAAATGTATTAACATAAAAATATTGCATAATATTAATTTGAAAAAATTAGTTGTCATATATCGTCTTCGTATCCGGTGTCTAAATTGGTCTACAGCTTGACAAATTAAAATTTCTGCTGCTTTTGTGTGGATTACAACCTTTTAATAAACATTTAAATGTGCGAAGGCTTTCGATCGCACAATAACTAACTACTCAATCTTATTGTACACTAAAATTTTGTCAATACGTTATATCGTGAGAAAAATCGAATGCATTAATCATTAAATTTAATTCAGAACACCATCCTATTCTAAAGATATGAATCCGAGCATGATCGATCATTCGTGATCGATCATATGAAAATCGAAAAAATTTTGATCGATCATCATCTCTAAGTTTAATAAATCAAGTTTGGACTATGTTCATATTTTTGAGCAGATTTGGTCCAACTAATAAAAAATTACCATGTCTATATTTTCATTTAGTCCATTACACTGGTATTAGATAAAGAAATTTATAAACAGGTTTGATCTGTATTTACAGAATTGGTCAATTACTGTTATACAAATTTTGAAATCAACTTTGCATGGCTTGGTTATATTAAAAAAAACGATAGAGTTTGGAGCCGGTTTTATTTTTAATGTGTTAAAACTGATTAAAACCGGTTTTAGCATGTCAGAGTAAATTTTTCGATTAAATTTTTTTTAATGACAATTTTTGAACAAGATATTCTACAATTGTGATAACATCCGCCATAGCACCCACACCTGTTTATTTACAATTAGTTTAATATGAAATGCATATATTTAAAAAGCTTTAAAATTAATAATTACCCAAATCTCCACAGGCCAATTTTTTAGATATAGGAGGAATAACTTGGAATCCTAGTTGTTCACTCAAGACACGTAAATGTGTCGACGTAAATGGGTGATCCCACATAAATGTGTTCATTGCTGGACACACGACTACTGGACGTGTCAAATCCCAAGCTCTTAATATACAAGTCTTTATAATGAATTTTGTAGTATTAGAGTAGTAATATTTGACACATAGAAAAAATAAAAAATATAAATATATGTCGACTAACAATAAGATTATCACACAATCCATTGGCTATTTTTCCCAATGTATTTGCATCAAGTGGAGCAATCACGAAAATATCCGCCCAATTGCGATACTAACGGTTCAGTAAAAGGATTTATGATACTTTTTTTAGTTGTGAAAAAGGCAAACAACTATAATGAGCCCCACCTCTATATGTAAAACTGGATCAGACATTTTACTCCAGGCCTATTAGGAAACTTATCGATTATTAAATATATATGTGAAATATAGAAATATAAAATTCAATTATTAACCTTCCATTCATCAGCATCCGTTGTGACTTCAACACCTAATTCCTTTGTTAAAGATTCTTTATTAAAAAAGTGCAGGGCATTATCCGTTGTTACAACTTTTATTTCAACATTTTCATACTATACAATGTGAAAATGCGCGTAAGAATATAAAAGATATATTATGAAAAGAATGAAAAAAAAAAAAACCTGAAGAAGTGATTGAACTAAAAGTGGTATCTTAATACTTGCAACACTCCCCGTTGCTCCTATAAGAATATTGATTTTTTGTTGAGACATGATTTTAAAGCACTTAATAAATACGCTTTATAGTTTACGGGAACTCGGCACGGTTTTTTTGTGTCACACATATGCTCATATGGGCGTGTGTGATTGGTTGTCTGATAAATCTGAAAGATCTGAAAATAAAATAAATTGAGAAATTCAGAGAAATTAAATTTTACTCTATTGCAAAGATGTCGGAGGAACGTACCTATATTATGGTTAAGGTATATTTCTTTAATAAAGTTTTGAAAACAACATACGTGTACTTATTCAAACTTTTCATTAGCCTGATGGCGTTGAACGTGGTTTAGTTGGAGAGATTATCAAACGTTTTGAAAACAAGGGATATAAACTTGTTGCCCTTCAACTTCTTCCGGTTGGTATAATTTGAATTCAATTTTGTTGGTATTATGAACTATTTTAATCCTGATTTTTATGTGGATTTTAAATGAAGACATCCAGAGAACTTTTGAACGAACATTATTGCGACCTCAAAGACAAACCATTCTTTCCCAAACTTATAAATTGTAATTTTTTTTTTTTTTTATTTGATCCTTGATCGGCTTTGTTTGTGAGTATTTGTGATGATGATATTTAATTTTTTAATGCTCCGTAATGTTTTGCATATGTTGATTAATAGATATGTTGTCTGGACCCGTGGTCGGTATGGTATGGGAAGGAAAAGACATTGTTAAAACTGGTCGTCGTCTCTTGGGCGAAACAGATCCTTTGAAATCCGCACCTGGTACTATTCGCGGTGATTTTTGTATTGACGGTAATTTTTTTTTTTTTATATGCTTAATAAGTCCTTTTTGTCATCTAAAAGCGCAGGTTTATTAATGCTATTTGTTTAATTTAGTTGGTAAAAATCTTTGTCATGGGTTTGTATACGTGAATCTTTTTTATTGTTTTCTTTTTATCAATTCTTTAGTCGCCTAACACCTGTATTTTATAGATCTGATTCAGTTGAAAGCGCTCAAAGAGAAATAAACCTTTGGTTCCCTAATGGTGTTATTTCATGGGAACGTCACAATGTTCATAAATTAATCTACGAATAAGTAATCTAATTTTATATAACATGATCTTTGAGAAGATTTATTAGAATAAATAAAGTAGATTGATAAATTATTAGTGGTTGCAAAAATTAGTCTGCAATTTTTTGACCTAAATGAAAATTGTAGTATTTATTCGTCTAACTTTATATTACAGTGATGATCGAAAGTATCTCATATTAGTGAAATTAAGCCTGAACGACGAAATAATTTCACCACTATTTGTGAAATTGATATGTATGAATTTCTTTACCCAATTGTAAAGAAAACCTTTCGTTAATGATTCAAGTCATTATCGAACGTTTAAACCTAAATGCACTGTTGAACCTCCCAAAACCAATCGTTTTGTTGCGAGTTGCAAAATTTTGTGAAATAACAAAGAAATCTCTCGATTGTTAGTGATTTTCGATTTCTTAAAACTACTCCCGATATGATAATTTCATATCTCGATATTGGAGAAATCTAACAATCGAGTGGTTTTTGCAATAAAGCTTACCGTTATGAGAGAATTTTTTTAACCAGTTAAATTAATTAACTGTGGTACACATTAATCATGTGATTATAAGGTTAACCAATCAAATTCTAATCACGGATAACTAGTATGTGAATTATACAAAATGAATTTATGAATATATACAATTAGCATAAAATAACCTATTTTCATCTCTTTATCCCAAAAAAAAAAAATTATGCCTTGTAAACCTATAATGGTATATCGGAAGCGTTAGCCGTGATCAATACCATTAGCTGAGATGGGTAATCTCATGATGAATGCCCATCAACAGATGCACCATTAACGTGCTCATGTTGTTGTCTACGCCATTCTATATATAATCTTAATACTTTATCTTCAGGCTCAAAACCAGATCCTTTCATCCAGGAATCATCCTTTTCACCACAAAACAATCGCCAACTATCTTCAGCATATTTTCCCATACCAAATAATTCTCTTGGAGAGGAAAAATTAGGCCTTATTAAATATGATTGCGAAAATTTTATAATTCGCTCTGCTCGAATGTTACTGAAAATTTAAAGGGTCATGGATGTCATTTTATAAACTTGATCGAGAATATGAGTATAAGCTTATACATACTGCAATCCAAGAGGGCGTAAAAGATCAGCCAATTTATTGACATCAGCCTTAATTGCAATTTGCGGAGTTGGATATTCATCCAAAAATTTCCACAAAAATGGTAATGCTTGACCTCCTCGAGTACGATTCAAAAACATAGTTGCAATAAGATGCTATCAATTCAAATATTATTATGTTTTTGATAAAATGATTTACGCATGTCAATAAAGTGATTACAACATATGTTTTTATGTGTATAATTAATTACCTTCCAAGGATCATAATACAATGATTCTTGGACGAGATTAAAAGGAGAAGGCATCGGAATATATTTTGGTACAAACGGAGTAATCTTTCTTTCCGCGAGCACATCCAAATCAATCGAAGAAGATAATTTCACCCTCTTTTTGGACGTTTGTTTCACCGTAGGCTCATTTACATGAATCTTATTATCCTTTACTTTTTTGAATACATTTTTATTATTGATACACCTTTTTTTGGATAGAAAGTATTTAGAAACAGTCTCTTTTTGCTGTGGTAGTTTTGATATGTTTTGAAAATAGGGACTAACTGTTTCTCCAAGTTTTTTATCCTGACGTTTCTTTGCCATTAGAGGGCTATAACTACAAAATTCTTAAATCATTAATTTTGAAAATTGATAAAAAAAAAAATCTTATCACACCAATCGAAAAGGATAATTAAAATCACAAATCACAGGGTTTGAAGTTCGTAATTCCTGAATTTCGTCTCCAATCTTTCTCACATGATTTTATCCAATTAAAAGCGCCTTTAGTTTTTCCACGCATCTACTACAGTATATACATTATCTGTAACAAAATTATTAAAGCCAACTCAAGTAAATCGACACATTCAAATGTATTAGATTTTAATTTACTTAAGTGGAGGTTCAAGCAATACATATAATAAAATTTAATTTTAGTTATTGATATATGAAATCTTAAGTAGAAGTTCAATCAACATCAATTTTTTTTTAAAAAAAAAAAAAAAAAAAAAAAAACATATACCGTATTCCGTTCGCCAAAGTACCCCCCATGTATTGTATCCCTCATAAATTTCTGTAAAATATCCGGGTATAATGCTATGAGTATTTAGATTTCAAACTTTTAGACTTGTAAAATACCCGGGGTACATTTATTTACTATAATT